CGCCCCCCCAAGCCACCGCCCACCACTTGGATCTGCCCCCACTCCCACCTGGGCCAGTGTACCCTCCCTGATGGTGGCCCTGGGGTCTGGCGTGGAAGCTGCCAACTCCTCCCAAAGCGGAGTCCAGATATTTCCTGGGGAGATGCTGGGGGAAGGGAGAGAGGGGGATCAACAAGTCTATCTGGGGTCAGGCATGGTGGTGGCTCATGCCTGTAACCCCAGCACTTTGGAAGGCTGAGGCGGGAGGATTTCCTGAGCCTAGGAGTTCGAGGCTGTGGTGAGCCGTGATCATGCCACTGCACTCCAGCCTGGGTGAGACCCCAACTCAAAAAAATAAAAAAAGTCTGTCTAGCCCCACACAGTGGCTCATGCCTGTAATCCCAACATTTTTGGGAGGCGGAGGCAAGAGGACTGCCAGGGGTCCAGGGGTTCGAGACCAGCCTGGACAATTTGGCAAGACCAGGTCTCTACCATGAATGAAAAAAAACTAGCCACACTAGTGTTGTGCACCTGTGGTTTCAGCTACTTCAGAGGATGAGGCGGAAAGATGGCCTGAGCCCAGCAGGCTGAGACTCCGATTCAAAACAAAAAAAGAATCGAGCTGGGTGGCTCAGCCTGTAATCCCGTGCCTTTGGGAAACTGAGGTGAGTGGATTGCCGAGACCCACCTGGGCAGCAAGACCTCATCTCTACAATACATCAAAAAAAATCAGCCAGTGTGGTAGCGCACGCCTGTAATTCTGGCTACTCGGAAGGCTGAGGCGGAAGGATCGCCGGAGCCCAGCAGGTCGAGGCTGCGGTGGCCGGGAGCGGCCACTGCACTCCAGTCTGGGCGACAGAGTGAGACTCCAACTCAAAAAAAAAAAAAAAAAAAAGGTAGCTGGGCATGGTGGCACATGCCTGTAGTTCCAGCTACTTGGAAGATTGAAGGACTGCCTGAGCCCAGCAGGTCGAGGCTGTGGTGGCTGAGAGCATGCCAGTGCCCTCTAGCCTGGGTGACAGAGTGAGACTCCAACTCAAAACAAAACAAAGAAGTTTGTCTAAAACACTCTTGGGCCCACTGGGCCTGCTGGGGCCTCTCACCAGTTGACTCGGACGCCATACGGACTCTCATCCAGGGCCAAGGCTTTGGTCATGGCCGTTACTGCCCCCTGCAGAAACAAAAGCGGGTGAGGAGAAAGTTCATTCCCAGGGAGATGGGACCCCTCCTGTCCTCTCCTCCCGGCCATGTGGCATCAGAATGGGGAGGTCATGCCCTCCTCTGTCTGCAAATAAACCAGGCTCTGTTTCTTGGGAGAAATTTGATCCACAGCAATTTGTCACAGGCTGTTATGGCTTGGGGCTGAATCTGGGAGTTGGGTGTGGGAGTCTTCAGGGCCAAGGTCTTGCTCCTCAAGTGTCTGGTTTCAAAGCCAAGGCCCATGGGGAGCGGGGGTGGAGGATAAGGAAGGAAGGAAGGGGCAGGGGCTGATGTACCTTAGTGGCCACATAGGGAACTGCCTGGGACTGGCCGATCGCCCCCACCAGGCTGGAGATGTTGATGACGTTGCCCCGGCTCTTCCGCAGGTGGGGGAGGGCGAGCTGGGGAGACAGGAATGCGAATAAGTCACCCGAGCGCTGGATGTCCCCAGCCCACTGATATGAAGCCACAGGCATCCTGATCTGGGATGACGGCCATCTCCCTCGCATGTTCCTAGTTGATTTCAGCAAGGACAGCACCTAGCACCTTCTTTGGTTTGCCCTAGGGTCTCTGGATCTCAGCACTGAAGGAGTGGCTCCTTGTCTGGAAGGGATTTCTCTGTCTCTTCTACTGAGTCTCTGATTGTCTCTGTCTCCCTCTTTCTGGGTCTTTGTATGTTACTGAAACTCCTGTCCATATCAAGACAGGAAAATGCAAGAGAGACCCAGAGACTGGATATTTTGCAGAAATGGGAGGACAGCTGGGCGAGGGAACTCACGCCTGTAATCCCAGTGCTTTGGGAGGCTGAGGTGGGAAAATTGTTTGAGGCAGGAGTTCAAGACCAACCTGCACAACATAGTGAGACCCTCATCTCTACCAAAAAAAAAGTCAGACATGGTAACATGTGCCTATAGTCCCAGCTACTTGGGAGGCTCAGGGGTGAGGATCACTGAGCCCAGGGGGTTGAGGCCATAGTGAGATATGATCACACCACTGCACTCAAGCTGGATGAGAGTGAGACCCTGTCTCAAAAACTTTTTTAAATAGAAAATTTTAAAAAGCCCAAAACTCATTTGGTGAGAAGCAAGGAGAATGGGGCAGTGAGGGCGAGGGGATAGAAAAAAATGGGAGGACGTTCTTTTATCTATGGAGGAAAAGATGAGGTCCCTGAGTTTTAAGGAGTGCTCTGTGGTCAGAAAGAGACATGGGGGGGCCTTCATGAAATGCACCCCATTTTCTGCCAACTTCCCCTGCAACTCCTTGGCTACCTGGAAACCCCTGAACACACACACGCACTCTCTGTTACGTGTGTGTGTGTTCTTTCACTATGCATGACCTTGGATAAACTCAAATTCTACCCTTTCTCTCGCTTGCCTTGGGGAGTGAGCTGGTCAGGCAAGACCAGTTCCTACCATTTAAGATTAATGAGGACAAGCCAGGAGGTTCTGTGGGGGAATTTAAAGGAGCCACCTCTCCAGTTCCCCCCACCAACTCTTTGAAACCTTCTCCACACCCCCCAAAAACGGCCTCCACCCTTTTCTGTGCTGTATCTTCAAATGCACACTGTGTGTTCCAGTCTCGGAGCCTTTGCACTCCTGTTTCCTCTGCCTGGAATGCTTTTTCCTGAAAAAGCCACAGGACTCACTCCTAGGTGATCAACCATCCCAGAGTGCTCAGGTCTGAAGGGTTTCTGGGACATGGTACTTTCAATGTTGCGGGTAAACACACTCCCTCAGCTCCTTCAAACCCTGTTCCAATGTCACCTCCTTAGTGACATTGATAACTTCCCTGACTACCCTATTTTAAACTGCAGGCTGGGCACAGTGGCTCAAGTCTATAATTCCAGCACTTTGAGAGATAAGAGGATTGCTTGAGCCCATGGGTTCAAGACCAGCCTGGGCAACTTGGTCAGACCTCATCTTTACAATAAATCAAAAAATTAGCCGAGCATGGTGGCACATGCCTGTAGTTCCTTCTAGCTACTTGGAAGACTGAGGTGGAAGGATCCCTTAGCCCAGCAGGTCGAGGATGCAATAGCTGTGAGCATGCTACTGCACTCCAGCCTGGGAGACAGAGTGACACTCCAACTCAAAAAATAATAATAGAGCCGGGCTCGGTGGCTCAGCCTGTAATCCCGCACCTTTGGGAGGCTGAGGTGAATGGATTGCCTGACCCCA